ATCATCAATGAAGTCCAGGGTGCTCTATATATAGGACCTTCTTGTAAGCTGGTTGTACCTGCATTTCCCAGTGGGTAATTGTGTTCTCACTGATACTAAAGCCCAGTACCCATCGTTTCAAACGCTGGAGCGTTATCCAGTAGACTACTTGAGCCATGAAAGCCAACAATTCTAGTGAAATTTTTATCACTTATTATTCAATTCAATTTGGAATTTCTCGTTGATTGGCTTACGTCAAGCTAAATAATTAGACATCGTTGAAGGTATCTGCACAAGAAACGGATATGTCAACCCAAGGTTGAACAATTCACTTCAATGAGTCAGAGGTAAATTCCAAAGTGAATTAAAGTATAAGTAACGCCTGTTGCACAAGAGGTGGCACAAGTGGTCTAGTGGACAATCCTCTGGCGTTTGAAACTGTGTGTACTAGGTCTGAGCTTCAGTAGGAACGCCATCATTCAGTGACTGGGGAATGCAGGTGCATCCCAAATAAGACGAAATGCGCCCCCTCGACTCCATCGCTAGTCACCATCCGCCAAATCGCTTGAAAGCTTTGAAAAGTTGAAAAATCATCAGTAGTCAAGAGTCCCCAACTGATATTTTAATAGTTAGTATTTCCAGGCTAAGCCTTATTTGAACATTTCAAAAATGTTACATGCCATTTTAAAAAACAATCAACAATGATCACCAAACAACCCTGTAACATTTCTCTGTTCTTTAGTGTGTGTATGTGTGCAAATTGATTTGCATAGAAAGTTCTTGATACATTTATAATAAAAGGGCATATGTCTACCACTAATTGACTGCTACACATATCAATTATTTCTTTACGTCTTTCTGCTATTCATCGTATGTTTTATAATTATTTGAATAATTGAACACTTGAACATTTGACCTTGACAGTGGTGATACAGTTACTGCTGGCATAGTAATAATTAGGTCACATTCCAACTGTTTGTAAATAAATATTCTGAAATGAAGTAGTTAATTAATTCAATAAAGAGGAGGAGGAGGGAGAGGAGAAAGCGTATTTTTTCCTCTTTTTGACATTTCGATTTCTCTATGGATAGGAGTTTCCTTATATTGAGCGCCTTAAACATTGTTGCTAATACTTAAGTATCAACAGAGGGGAATCCACTTCAGTGGTTTAACACTCACCTGATTCTGGTCTCGATTACCGGACGACATTCATCTAAAGTTCATCTAAACGATAGGAAGCCCACATAGGAGAAGAGGTTGAACAATCTCACCATGCAAAGCAGTAAAATCACCGATACTGGAACTTCAAAACTTCAAGCTTGGTACCCTGTGTTCCACACTGAATATAATAAATAGTAGTACAGTCCATAGTCCACTGAAAAATGGATTGAAAAAGAAGGGAACTTTAGCTTTTTCAGAGACAGTCATTGACAATTTTCTAAGTAGATGCAGATTATAAATCCAATTTTTAATGACTCAAAGTATTCATATTATTATTCATATTAGAAGAAGCCTATGAACAAATGGAAAGCTGGTCTGCATTAGGATTTATTCTTGAGGGTGCTAGCCTACCTGTGATTGGGACGCTAATGGTAACAGCTCATCACAATACAAATTGGATGTCTGCAGTGAAGTAATACTAGATGATTGTTGATTGAATCAGAAGTCAGCTGGTGGATGGTGACTAACTGTGGAATCCAGGATTCGAATTTCGTCTTATTTGGGACTCGTCATCTAGATATACCTGCATGCTGCAGTGAGTGATGATGTTCCCACCTTCCAGGTGATGAGTACCAAAACAGGACGAAATGTGCATCCTGAATTCCACTGTTAATCACCATCCACCAATTAACTTATAATTACTTGACCAGACATAATCGAAGAATGTGCACAAGAAGCCAATACGTCAACCTGAGACTGAACACTTTGATCCAATCAATCGACGAAAAAATCTAAAATTGAATAAAATAAATAGTTGATTGAATAAGTTCAAGTAATTCAGTAAACAATGACTTTATTTATTCAAGGATAGACACTTGAAGGACTTCACACTGAAATTCTCACTGAAGATATTTTTTATGAGGACAGGGAAAGCTCCTGTGGTCTTTTCACTTATGCCAGCTTGGCACTGGTAATTGACCCGACTGGTTTTTGACAAATCGCATAATTCAGTAGAATGTATAAAAATATTTTTAAAAATTTAGCAAGGAGTTAACTGAAGATTGTTGAATACTCTCCGTCTGGACATTAATGAAAACAAAACACGTAGTTCAGCGTAGAGTAGATTTTCGGCGGGGAATTAATTCACGTAGCTGTACAATTGCAATTATATATACTTATTTTTCTATATGTGTGTATAGCAGGTTTGACCGATAAGAATAAAAAAATAAGTTAAGGCTATTGTTGTGAAGACATTTCAGAAATGTGATCAGTAATCAAATCGTAACTAGGAAGGAGGGCTGAAGATTGGTAAGAGGGTAGTGGTGATGCATTTTCAAAAGACAACGTAGTTATTAATGTTAGTCAACACATAAAAGAAGTTGAACAAGCGTTATGCAGTGTTACGCAATAAGACGAATGGTTTAATGAGTGAATTGTGATTAGGATACGCATAGAATCAAAGGAAAATATGGAACTATATAAGAATTCTAAAAATTACAAACATTATAAGGAGTTAGAAGGACAAACATACACAAACATCAAGTCACTGAAAGACAACACGATTTTTACCATGACAACAGAGGTGGTTGGATAACTTTCTTTTGTATGAAGAGCTCTGGCTTTTTTAACCGAATAGCTAAAGATTCAGCAATGATAATGAGATGAAAGCATATTGCCTTTGGTAGGGTATTCTTCACTTTATAGATTACTTTAAAGGAAGGAGGCGTTTGTTGAGAAATAATGACCAAAAGTTTACGGCTCTAATTATCTTTCTGCACACAAACAGAATAGTCTTCTTGAAGTCTTTTAGACAGAATACCCATTGAACAACCAATATACCTGGCTCCACAGCATTAGGTGAACTAATATATGCGCATAGATATAAATATCCTAATTTGTACATACTTAATATTATTCTCTTTAATTCCGAGTGAAATGTTGGGCTTTAACAGGACATCTTCATTTCATCCGCTTTTCTACAATCTTTTGTTTAGCAGCTCCATGACTGCCTATTAGCTCTCATCTCTTCCATTTCACCATCAGATAACCAACTCGTTATTTACCACATACTTTCCACTCGACAGCCTGCTTCACTCATGAATCCCCTTTAACGATCTCCTCAGTATGTGTCCAGTCCATTTCCACTTCTACATCTTTGTTGGGCAGTACGTTCTTGGTTGGTTAGTTCCTAGAGTTCACTGATACCAAATATGGATCTTCAATATGGAGTTGGTGAAGTCAGTTGCTGATAAAGGATGGAAGCATGTTGGAAATGGTTTTGCTGACGGCATAGAAACACTAAATCATTTGAGATCAATGTTGAAAATTTGAATCTTGGTTTCTGACTATGGTGCAACACATTACCAAACTGCTTTCAGATTATTGGAGGTCTGCCACGCTAATTCCACCCTGTCTCTAACATACTCATCCATGCCACCGCTTGTATTCGAAATAATGCTAGCTGGATATAAAGAGGAAGTGAATTCCTTTTATTCCTGAGTTAAACAGACTTAAAATTGGATTTTGTCTTAATACAGATTCAGAATAATACCAAGTATTATAGTTGATATTTCATTCATATGAATATCAAGAAATTATTCAGTTTTTAGTAGGTTACATGATAAGGTACAACTCTGAAATCCAACCTCATCATATTGAACATTGTGAGCAATAAAATGATTTGATGGCATATAGTCACTTCCCATTACTATATTTCATTCAATGGATAGCTGGAATTTCCCCTCTAATTTTGTCTAATTTCCTCCGAAAATTGGTTTATAACCTCAAAGAAACTGCGATTTTTAGTTTTCGAATACTTATGGTATTTTTTGTACTTTCCACACATGCACACACACTCTCTCTCTCTGAAGGCTTAACTGTCATTAGCTGACAACAATTTAAACTCATCATTGCCATTTAAAACGTGTACATTTGACAGTCCTGTTAAGTGTTTTTGAGTGATGTCTGAACAGTGAAATCTGTCTTGTTCACTGTCCACCGTCTCCCTTACTTTCAAGTGTTGTTACGGTGATTGTTGACGCGATGATTAGTAATTAAATTGATTTTCATCATCCCGTTGGATTGGTATCGGTGACAGTTTACTGAGTCATAGTACAATTCATATCACTTTTTGTCTACGAAGTCTGTAGCCTCCTGTCTGTTAAGTGTGAAACATGGTCAGTGAGCAAAGTCAGACACGTCGTCTGTTCACTTGGATGTTCTGTACCTTGTTATTAGATTCTGAACACAATTCAATAATGAGCTTCGGAACCAGGTTTCTCTTTTGGATTGGAGATTATGACAATCGGGTCCAACTTTGCCCTCGAAGAATCCAGAATTTCCTCGATGATTCTAGCTAGGGTCACTTAGCGTTGAGGTGACAGTAATAACTACCCACCTTTGACATTTATACCGGACTTCACTTTTTTGAACAGGTGCAGTCTTAAAAATAATACGCCTCTAAGTCAAACACTCTAAAGGGATATTTTGCATTAAACCAAATTCTTTAGGCTGTTAGGTTTATCCTATTAGGTTGGTAGCCCAATCATAAATTTAACCCACTATCATATCTAAACTTCTCTTGTTTCTTAGTGCTTTTAATGTCCGCCTTAACTTAAGATTTCTACAAAAATGTTAATCTTTGTGAAAAGCTGAGTGCCAATTGGGTGTGCATGATAACGATCACAATGAAATGATCCTGTCTGTATTGAAAGAGTCATAAATGTAGTAGTCAAATTTCTGAATTCTATAACCCCAAGTTATTTATACTTCAGTCTTTTTTTTACTTAATAATAAATAAGTAGTATAAATTTTAGCTAAAACTTTCTGAAAATACAATTTATTTGTTTATCGCTTTCTAGGTATTAGGACCAACCCACTTACTGGTGAAAATCTGAAAACATTCACTGTAATGGCAGAGGAAAGATGTTCAGCCAGAGAAAATGGTGTATCCAAACGGAACGGTAGGTATTTCAAGTATTTCATATTAACAGGAATTCAACATCCACATGTGTATTCGAAAATTTAGTAACGAGTTACTTACGAGTCACGTGTCTGGCTCCTTATAGCTTATCTAAAAGTGGTAGAATTCGAAGCTGAGACTCACGGCTTCCATGTTGAATGCTAAATGAAGGTATTTTCTATCTCACAAATATTATATTACTTCGGGATATGCTCTAAGTGATCTGTTACTTTTGCTAATTTTAAATGCCATTTGATATCGTAATTTACACTTGTCTGTCTGATGTATAACTGTAATACAGACAGCATAATCAATATAATTGTATGTGATATCCATGTGCGGATAGTACTCACTTGATGAAACGATATCTTAAAGCGCTTATAAAATTAATATTCAGTTTTATACTGTGACAACCCAAACAGATATTTTGTGATGTGAATGCAGGAAAGCGATCTCTGGGTTCTACTGTATAGCTGATCAAAACTTTCCAAGTATTAGTCTGTAGGGATTTGGTTGATTGGTTACAGGATTTCATCATGAGCTGATATCAGTTAGAGAACCATTGGAAAACCAACTAGGAGTACTGGACAGCTGTTTCGTCATAATTTGGGACTCTTCACTAGTACGCACCCACTGGGATTCGAACCCAGGACCTTCTGGTCACAAGGCCAGCTCGTAGACCATTAAGCCACTGGGACTCGATCTAATGGCCAGCCCATGAATTCTAACTTCTCCCAATTCATGATATAGCGCAACCGCAAGCCAATGTCTTCGGCGAGTATTTGTCCTCACACCCAACCTGCTGCATTCTACTGGTCATGACTTCCCACTGGAACCCCAAGTAACTACCTACCTGAATAGAGCCAGTCGCCAGTGGGAATTTCATTGGTTTTCAAGTATTGGTTTGTAGGCATTTGGTTGATTGGTTACAGGATTTCATCATGAGCTGACAAATACTCGCCGAAGATATTGGCTTGCGGTTGCGCTATATCATGAATTTGCAGAAGTTAGAATTCATGGGCTGGCCATCAGATCAGGTCCCAGTGGCTTAATGGTATGCGAGCTGGCCTTGTGACCAGAAGGTCCTGGGTTCGAATCCCAGTGGGTGCGTACTGATGAAGAGTCCCAAACTATGACGAATCAGCTGTCCAGTACTCCTAGTTGGTTTTCCAATGGTTCCCTAACTGATATCAGCTCATGATGAAATCCTGTAACTGATCAAAATTTTCTTGAGTTTCTCGCAGTCAAAAAATGCCGCAACCACAGCAAAAAGGAAGTTATCTGTAATAAATTTTGCAGTGTTATTTAGTAATAATAACATCAAAAACTTAAAATTTCTTCAACAGTGTTGTTAAGCAGCTAGACTTGTCACATAACTTTGGAGTACAATACAAGTACTGTAGAATAATAATAATAATCTACTTTATTCCCAAAACAGTACTTATAATACATAATGGGATTCTCAGCATTTGTCACAACACCTTGCATCTGATTTACTCAAAATATAAATAAAATTAAAGATTAAAACAAATTTAACCAGAGGAATTTGTCCACAATTACGATGTAAAGTCAAAAATATTTGAAGCACGAAGTGAGAATATTAAATATAATAATGATAGGAATAATATAATGACAGTGAGTTTGTTTCAAACAGTATTGTCGATTCAGTTTCGAAATTTTAGCACGTTATAGATTATTGAATCTAATGTTCTGTTGATATAGCGGCATGGTGAGGGGAAAGACAAAATTAACAGTTATAACACAGCTTAAATGATGTTTACACTTTTGAGAAAATAAACAAATCAAAACAAAAAGTTGAGAGGCTTATAAATATAACGAGTACAATAACACTGTAGGGGTGATGGAAATGGTTTATTTAATAGTGCAAAGAAGGTTAGTCAGTTCCTCCCTGACATTATTGTCATCATATAGTGTACGTGCCATATATGGTATAGTGGAATTTTTATACGTAGACGTACGTGCATAAAGTCTTCTGAAAAGACTTCTTGTTTTACCTGAAGAGACACAAGGTTGGAGTTTCGGGTAAAGTGAATGCTCGCAATCTGACAAAATTCCTTTAGCGAATTTGTTGCATGACATCAAGTGCCTATCAGGGTCAAAGATATGGCCCAATGGGATACCACTCGTCCTACTGACAGTCTTCAGAGTTCTACGAAGTATGTATGACATAATCTTTTTTAAGCAATCTAGGAAAGAATAAGGGTAAACAGTGAAGAAGAATAGGTAAAATACGCGAGTTGACAAACTGTAAGAGGAGAGGTTGAGTTATACCTGAGTACCTTTACCTCGTAATGTAAAAAGTCAGACGAAATATTCTTTTAGAAATCGCTAAGACATGAGAAGACCAGGATAGGTCAGAAGAAAGAATTAATCCAACATACTTAACTTAAGACTTGATTTCTATATCAGTATCATCAATTTCCCAAGGGTCATAGGAACCAACGGCTTCATTTAACTTTCTTTTACATCGGAAACTGAAATTAACAGTCTGACATTTGGAAGGATTTAGTTTAAGGCCGTTACACGAAGACCATTTGCTAATTCCTGATAGAAAGCTGTTCATCTTAGCACAGACAGTCAAGCTGGGATTTAACAGACGTTGAAATAGTTAGATCGTCGGCATACTTAACAAAGTTCATTTCTTCAAAGTGAGGCAAATCATGTAAGAAGAAAGAAAACAGAAAAGGAGAAAGGACAAAGCCATGTGGGACACCAGCCTCAGTAAGCAATGAAGTGGAAGACTTTCCCTGACATACAGTGTACTGCATTCTTCCTGAGAAATAAGAACGCAGTCATTTGACAACTCAGTAGTCATTTTGAGTTCCAGCAAGCTTGTTTAACAAAATATCCCTAGGTACTGAGTCAAAAGCAGATGTGTAATCTATAAAGGTGCTGGAGAAGATGTTATGATACAAGACTGCAGCTGCATCTAAAGTAATTCTACTGTGTTTATAGACGAATTGTTTGGGGTCGTTAAATACTTTAAGTGAGGGTTGAAGATTAATTAAGAGTAACTTTTCCATAGTTTTTAGAAAAGGAGAGGTAATAACAATAGGCCAAAACTTAAAACATGTTCCAGTAGATGACTTGGGTTTAGGTACAGTTTTAGTGTCCTTCCAAATGGTTGGCATGACATTTCTGCGAAAAGATTCAGTAAATATGTCCATGAGAGGATAACACAGGATATCTGCACATACTTTAAGAATAAGGCTAGGCAAACAATCTGGACCTAGGATACAAGAAGGGTTCAGAGACCGGAGACATTTTAGAACATCACTTGTATTAAAACCAGGGAAGCAGGTTTCATTAACACTGGTGACACTAGAAAGTTTGGCATTTGTGGGAGAATGTATGAAAGACTTATTTAGTGTGCAAACTTCAAGGCAATAAGGAATAATATTCATCTGCTTACCACCAGTTATTTCTTTCAAAAGAAGATTAGTTAACTTAAAATCAAATCTAAAAAGTATCTGAGAATCAAGTATAGTAATCTCAACGAAGTGAGATCGACAAACTCTGAGCACACAGTCAAATGTCAGAACAACATTGTATCACTCAAACAAAATCGCTGATATATAAAACAACACGTTATCAATATAATCACATGGACAAAAACAGAAGCAATAAAAGTAAAGATTAAACGGGAAAAAAGACAAATAAAAAGGATTGCGTGAATAGGTGATTTATAGACTTCAGGACAATGATATATGTGCGTCGATGGCTCAGTGGTTAGGACTCCCGCCGACTATGCATATGCCCTGGGGTTCGATTCCCTGCCGACGCACACCTGATATCTATGGTCGACCTGCAAAATTTGGGCTACCGATATCACATGCGGAGAATTCTATGCCTGTAGTGAAAATGCGGTGTGGAATCAAGCTGTAATCAAAAATTTAAAAAAATATGGCCTAGGAGAAAGTCGGAAAATTATACTTATATCAATAATTAAAATGTCAGTTGAAATATCTGAATGCGTATCAATATTGTGATTAGATCGTTCACGGAGTGGGATTTTCCAAACACTTATTCCGATATAAACGTCATAACCTGCAGGCTCTTACAAATACAGAACGCTGTGTTACAGGATCAATATCGAATGTACTGTCGTCTCGACTATGATAAATTCTATCGTGGCTTACTGAAATTAACAGACAAATAGTGTACTACTTGTTAGTAGCATATCTATAAAATAATAAAAATGTGCCTAGGTATAATTTGGCAGCTGAGTCTGAATCATTACTAAAATAATTTAGAATGATCCCAGTGTATTTAGAAGAACACGCTCCATCATTAAGGCCCTTGGTTTTCTAACATGGAATGGCTTTAAATCATTTCAGAGAGATTGTATTCACATTACATTCTGGAGGAATTTAGACACTTTTGAAACTTTCAGCACAGGCCACATAGATCTTAGTGGATTTGAATAAAGGTCCATGACTGGTTGACGATTCTATGAAATCAGTTTCCATATAACGAAACAAGTGACATGATAGACAATTGTTTATTATAATTTTTGTCTTACTCAAAAGAAGTGCAGTTAAATGGTGATTCTGAACTTTGAATTTCTCTTAATACATGAGTTTAGGCGTTTATGAATTACCGACATTCGTCTACAAATCCTTCTTATGTGCGATCAAAATCAATCTCATACAACTAAGATACCGATAGAAAAGTAACCGGAAGGGCGATATTCCTTTTAATGTATAACTTGTATTTAAAATTTCACTAGAATATTGATTTTTGTTCATCCTGATTGATGGATATGTTGGTTTTCTTTTACCTTGAAAAGTTTCAACAAAAAATATATTCACTGGAGAAAACTGTGAGAATTATACACTATCACCAGAATTGAAGTCGCCAACAAAGCGCATTCAACGAGGTAGGTTGTGATATATTTCTACATTTTTAAGTATACTACTAGTGAGTAGCTCAACTTTTTGTAACAAATTTTCTTCATTTGGGAATAACGACCAGAAGTGACGACTCTAAGAAGTAATAGTTCTTAACGATAATTTTATTTTTGAACTGTGTAGCGTCATTTAAATTTTGACATACAACAAGAAGAAGTAATTTTTCAAAAATTGTTTAATATTTTCTCTCAATACGTTTCGAAAAATCTGATTACTCACGTGGTTGTCATAAGAGTTTATTTGAAAATAATAAAGCGTTTGGCGGTGACAGAACAAACGCAGGTCAAGCTAAAGGGGTGAAAATAACATTGGAGACCAATATCCCAAGGAAGATAGATAACAAGACGTCTATTCTGTGATCATAAAATTGGTACACTTTGGCTGTTGTGTATTTCGGCATTATGTGAAGATCACCTACAGCATATGTTTAGCTCTATGCGAACTTATAATTCTAGATTCTGTTGCGGAGTTGATTACACTGGACTCTGTTATGGGATTCTCTATTCACTCATTACAAAACATTTTTCAGCTTTACTAACAAAGGGTGAACATAGAACAACAATTAAATCAATTGAGAATATTTTATAGATTAAGGCTATTCAGCAACTTGCGATTTATCCCTTAAAGTAGCCTGAAACACTAAATTGATTTCAGTGTTTAAAAAGTTTGTGTTTTCTCTGCTTGTGTATTGCCTAAGATGTAATTACTTTTAGCGAAAAATCAAGACTGCGTATAGTGAAATCATATAAGCATCTCTGTTTTCATTACTGTAACCTTAATGGCGCTTCTTCTAGTTAGTTTCATTGTACTTCCGTTAGTACTTGACCTACTTTAACCTTCTTGAAATCAATTTCTTTTTATACAATACTACCTTCCTGTAAGTCACGGGTTCGGCCTACCATCTCCTGCTGTTTTCCTACATATATATATCCAAATTGAATAGTAGTCAAACAAACGATGTAAATATTAGTCGTTTCTTATGAAATGCGTGATAAGTGGAGACTGTTTTTCTCTCTGTAGTGGCATACTTCATTAGGTTTTTTGACTCCTCATTTGGACTTAGATTTTCATATCGAAACAGCCTACAGTATTTTAAAAATCTCAACTGAGTCACATTAAAAAAAGAAGTTCAGAGGAAAGTTACTCTTTTCGGAGACATCATTATAAAGCTGTAAAATTGCACTTCTGTAGTAAATTATCTGCAATTTCCGTCCTGTAGAAAGTCACTAGCAAGCTTCAGATTGGTTTTCAATAGTTGGTTTGTAAGGATTAGATTTGTGAGTCAAGTGTAAGGATGGATGTCCCACCAGTGACATGCGTTGGTGGTTGTGCTAAATCATGAATTGGTAGAAGTTAGAATTCATGGGCTGGCCATTGAATCGGCTCCCAATTGCTGAGTGGTATATGAGCCAGCTTACCTTGTAACCTGAAGGTCCTGGATTCGAACCGTGGCTGTATGTGCGTACTGCCAGTGATTCTTAAACTGGGATGAAACAGCAGCTGTCCAGTACTACCTGATGGTTTTCAGTGCCTCTCTAACTAATATCAATCCGTGATCAACTCGTAATAACAAATCTCAGCTTTGCAAAACAAGTATTGGAAATAACTGGCCTTTCTATCCTAAACTATTTGTAATTTTTCTTGACAGTATTTCAAATGTCGCATAATTTCACCTATTAACATTATTGTCATCATCATTTTACACTTTTTCTACATTTTTGACTTTATTGCCACTGCTAATACCATAAAGCTGGTAATATCAACTTTAGTTACGTATATCCCGTAATCTAATTATTTTTTGTATTTTTGCTCTTGTCGAGTAAATTAGATACAATATCGTACCAAATACTGAGTATTCCATACTGTATAATAATTACTGTTTCGGAATAAAGCAAATTATTGTTATTATCATTAGTAGTAGTAATAGTAAAAATTACTGATTACAAGAAGTTTGTACCTTGTTCAAAGTTCTTTTGAAGAGTTTACATGTAGCGGCTAGAATCATTAATTGTTCTCATAATGTCAGGAACGAACACAAGGTTAAACAAATGTAAATGCACTGTTTGAAACTTCTTGTGTGCGTGTGTGTGTGTGCTGAGACACGAACCAGTCATATGCGGTAAAGTAAGTGGAAAGGAATTGGAACTGAAGAGTCGTTGATTGGACGTCGAATGATTAAGCCAGTGAGTCATACTTAACACTAAAGACTTTAACTATGCGGCTATGAAGTATTTCTCAACTAAGAAAAAGGTGATTAGATTATCTGACAGTGCTGTAATGAGAAGGCAATTAGGAAGACAATTAGGAATTAGAATTCCATAATAGACAGGGGATGGATAAAACAAACAATGTAGCATCATAATAACTAAGAGGATTGACATTGCGCAATTAGGGATTAGAAATGTAGAAATAACAAAATAGACAGGACGTTCGGATATGAAAATATGGTAGTGTAAACAGGGATTAAGAAAAACGTAAAAATAACATGAATAAACAGGAAGTTTAGATAAGAAAGGCGATGGGATGTTTATTACCAAAAGAATTACCTGTTTATGATGGCCATGGCAGGGACAGGGGTTGGACGTATTTCCTTTGGATACAAAGCGTGGGTTTGAGCTTTTGGATAGCTAGCGCTATCCTTAACCGGAAATTACTCTGGATCTTTTCCATCCATTTGATATAAATACACGAATGTACAGCCTAGTTGACGGTGAATTCGTCGAAAAGGAAATTTTCTTCGCTGCAATTGTCTTCTTAATAACTCCTATAACCCAATATGTATATTCCGTGAAAAGGCAATTCTAAGTTGTGATAGGATTTCAGCCAGTTAAGCTCACGTGAGCACCCTTTGAGTTATACAGAAAATAGAAAAAAAAAACATTTAAAAGAGAAGGCGTTCAGCGAGGAGTTATTCTTTTCGGCCATATCACCTCAAACTGTACATTCTCACAAATGTAGTAAATTGTCTTAGCAACTAAGAAAATATTTCCAAAGATGTGTCATTAGAATTTTAAATTTAAGATCACAAATCACGTCATATAAAAAGTGTTAATCGAGTAGAAACTTAAAAAAAAATTAAATAAGTAGACTGAGTGACGTAATATTATTGACGCCATTGAGTAGAACTCAGCTACAACTGGACGAGAGTCAAATTAAAAACAATGAAAATAAGGGGTAGAAATTTAATAGGAGCTTAGGAAGGAAAAACAAAAAACAATTAAAAAACAAAAAAAACAAGAATAACGTATCAAGTGTTGAGATTGATCAGGTCTAACTGAACAGACTTCATCTTTTGTATGCAGAGTTCATCATTTAAAATCTGAATTGCCATTGCTTCTACAATTTGAAGAAGTTTGATTCGTCATACTCTTTTAGCAAGATTTCCACATATACTGTAGATAACTTTGAAGATGATTTATGAGTTAGCCTGGTTCCATATTCGAGGATAGAGCCGTAGAAGAACTTTTTTTCTCCTTTTTAATAGCATGAGGGTAAATGTTCGACGATACATTTGGACAGCAAACTGTGGAGTACGGCCGACATAGTTAGCTCCACACGAGCAGGTGAAATTGGTAGATGCATATAGGTGAGACCAACAGTAGTATCTAATCCTTCACGTTCATGCGAATCGTTGGTTTTGAGGGGAATCTGGTCGAAGTTTAGATGTGAAGGAGGTTTTCTTCAGTGGATGGGACAGGCGGTTTCTTAGTATTTCTGCCGATGAGTCCCTATTGAAATGTAGATTCAAGTAGAGAAGTCTCTTAGGAGCAGAAAGTGTGGGTGGTCTCAGTGGTTTGGGCTTCATAAATTAATTTTGTGATGAAACGTTTTAGGTAGCCATTTTCAAGGGGGATTCTTTTCAGGGTGTTCATATCCTCTTCTATAGCATCATGACTGCAAATACTGCTACCCGGTTGACGTTTTCTACATCACATGATTTGTGATCGAAATTTCACAATTCCAATGACACATCTTTGTAAATATGCATTTCGTTGCTAAGAAAATTTGCTACATATATGAGATTGTACAGCTTGAAAGTGGTATCGCCCAAAAGAGTAACCCTTCTCTGAAAGTTCTTTCTTTCATATCTGTTCATATCGTGTTCCCAGTGAGATACATTTATAAGCTAATCTTATCGCTATTTACCAAACTACTGTGTCAGAAAGACCAACTTGTTAATTAACAATGTATTGTTCATGAATTAATTCTCCTTCAGATTCAACAAACGATAGACTGATGTATTTTGGGTTAATAAAATCGGCGACAGGAAACTACAAATAAATTTTAAAAAATGGACGAAGAATAATCGTTAAATAATCCTCGTCCAGACATTGAAAACAAAACACATAGTTCAGTGAAAAGTCTCTCTTAGGAAAATTCATTCCCTCACCTGGACAATCACAATTATATAAGTAATTATTTTTCAATACATCTGTGCGCATAAGATTCGTCAGACAAGAATACAAATCATTTGGCGTTACTGTTTACGGCATCAAAATATTTCAAAATAAATGTCGGAATATACACAATGGGTCATAGGAGTTATTATGAAGACAATTGCAGCGAAGAAAATTTTCTTTTCGACGAAGTCATCCTCAACTAGGCTGTACATTTGTGTATTTTTATAATAAATGGGTGGGAAAGTTAGTAGAATAATTTCCGGTCAAGGGTCAAATTAATTAAAATTACAATTAGGATTTAGAATGCCACAATAAACAGGGGGACGGATAAAACTCAAATAAAGTAGCATCATGATAGCTAAGAAGATTGACATTGTGCAATTAGGGGTTAGAAATGTAGAAATAACAAAATAGACAGGATGTTTGGATAAGAATTGATGTGATGAATAATTGTTGATGCAATCAGGGATTAAATATGTAGAAATAGTAAAATGGCAAAATAAACAGGACGTTCGGATATGAAAAGATGCTAGTGTAAACAGGGATTAAGAAAAACCTAAAAATAACATGAATAAACGGGAAGATACATCGATGATACTTTCATTATTTGTGATAAGAACTGTGAAATAGAAAAACTACTTCAAATCTTCAATGATGGCCACCCACACATCGACTTTACACTTGAGACTGAATCCGACGGAATGTTCCACTTTTTCGACGTCCATCTGACAAGAAACGCCAACAACTCTCTGAAAAGGTCCATATACAAAAAGCCTACATGGAATGGACAATTCACCAACTTTCAAAGCTTCGTCCTTCTGAGTAGAAAGAGGAACCTGATATACGCTCTTCCCTCGAGGATTCTGAAGATATGCAGTGAGGAAGTGGTTGGAGACGAACTGCATAATGTCAGAAAAACCCTGATGAAAGACGGTTTCTCGCTCAGGTTCATAGACAAGAATCTCAAATCTAAGAAGACTTCCGAACAAATTCAATCCGTTCCAAAGAAAATACTTCTGCTTAGTCTAGAATTCAAAGGTGATATTGAAGCAGAAATCCTTCGCAAACGCCTCTCCAAATCGCTAAGGAAAACATACTTCTCCGCGAGCCCACAACTGACGTTTTCCTGGAAGAAACTGTTCAGCCGGAACGCGAAAGACAAGCTGTCACGTTGGGCCACCTCAACGTGCATATACCACTTAACTTGCTCTTGTGGAGCTGAGTACGTTGGCCGTACCATGCGCCGACATGAAAAACGCGCTCGTGAACACTGCCCAGCCTGGCTAGTAAAAGGAAACCGAAAGCTTGTATACAGTTCAGTGACAGAACATCTGGTCAATTCAGGACATTCAGCGCCATTCGAAAAATCCTTTAAAATAATATACGAGATTCGATCGAACCTATCAAAGGGAGTCAAATCAAGACATCTGAGCAAAGCCGAAGCGCTAGCTATACAAAAGCTCAAACCCACACTTTGTATCCAAAAGAAATACGCCCAACCCCTGTCCCTGCCATGGCCATCATAAACAGGTGATTCTTTTAGTAATAAACATCCCATCGCCTTTCTTATATAAACTTCCTATTTATTCATGTTATTTTTAGGTTTTTCTTAATCCCTGTTTACACTAGCATCTTTTCATATCCGAACGTCCTGTTTATTTTGCCATTTTACTATTTCTACATATTTAATCCCTGATTGCATCAACAATTATTCATCACATCAATTCTTATCCAAACATCCTGTCTATTTTGTTATTTCTACATTTCTAACCCCTAATTGCACAATGTCAATCTTCTTAGCTATCATGATGCTACTTTGCTTGAGTTTTATCCATCCCCCTGTTTATTGTGGCATTCAAATTCCTAATTGTAATTTTAATTAATTTGACCCTTGACGGGAAATTATTCTGGAACTTTCCCATCCATTTGATATAAATACACGAATGTACAGACTAGATGATGACTTCATCGAAAACAAAATAAATGTGATGAATAATCGAATTGTGACTGAAGCGGGTAGTAGTGATGAGTTGTCAATGCGTGTTAGAAGTTGAATGAGTTCATAATAGTTACGTAATGACACGAACAGTGAATCGGTAGCACAGAGGTAGAATGCTCGCCGAGCACTCCTGTGGTCCGGGGTTCGACCTCCGGCCACCGACGCACTTCTTTGCCTCACTAAGCGAGTATTAAGACTGGTAAAGAGGGAAGGTTGGGAATGAGGCTTGCAACCTCATCCCGTAAGAATAAATGCCACTGCTACTGAAAATGCAAGTCTCAAACTTGAAGCCCTATGTTCCACTGAGACGGTGTAGGAATAAACAAATAAGATGAATAATACAGTGATTGACTTGTGACTAGGATATATCTAGAAACTAAGAAAAGTAGGGAATTATGCAAGAGTTCTAAAATTATTTCATCTTGATTTTGAGATACAGTTAACCACTGTTCATACAAATAAATTGTCATGCCTAAACAAATATTTGTACTTAGCCTGATGATGTGAATGCATTGAACTATAAACTTGCACTTGTAGCAATTAATGGTATTCATAAATCAGCATCAGGAATAATCAGTAGATAAATTTCTTAACAACCGACATAACAGATACCAGAAATATATACGATTTCTCATTTGAATTCTGAGAAATTTCTCATCTGAAAACTATTTGCCTCTTGTCAAGTAATTTTAAACTTAGTGGTTCACTGGTATTTACATTGGGACTCCAGTTCTGGTTATTTGATCTTCTGTGTGAAGCGATGGAAGCTATTGATGAAGGTCTGTAGCCTGTTGGAAGTGCTTTTCATAAAGGCTGCAAGTCCCTTAATCATATAGAAGAAGTGACTTGATGTTGGTGTTGAAGATCCGGATCTTGCTCCGTATTCTATTTGTCACTGATGCCCACAATGATTTTATAGTTATCAAATTTTTTTATGTTGCTTTCCCGATCCTACCTGGCCTTCACATCCCTATCCGTGCCGTCTGTAGTTAGAACGACACCGCCTAGATAAATTAAGAATACGAATTTTTTTAGATATCCTCGGTTGATTGTGAGTCCTGCTTCCTGTTAATGGTTAGGTATAGTTATCACCTCTGTCTCCTTTACAATCACTCGAAGTCTTTTTTCCGCTGCATCTTCTGTCGTTTTCTTCGTTTACACACTTAGATCCTCCATTTTGTGTGATGTCAGACATTAAGCATCCGTGAAGTTCAGATCTCCAGTAATCTTTTTCCCTGTTCAAAGTATGCTCATCTTCTAGCTTAACACAATCTGTTGCGTAATTTCTTTCACTAGGATCAGGAATATCATCGATAGGCAGCCGCTTTTTACTTTTTTGTTCACCTACAGAACTTCAGGGAACTATCCGTTGTGGATCAATTTCCATGAGTCACAATTAAATACGTAACCGTTGAATGAAGTTGATAGAGTCTCACAGTGTTATACAGTAATGTTTACTGATGACGTTTCGAGCACAATTTATCACTGCTCATAATCATATCAAGGTAATCACACGACTTCCTAAATTCATTTATATAGTTCCATTGTTTTTCTCTTGATTTTCACTTGATTTGATTGGTAATAGTATTTTCCATATTTCAGGTATGAGTGATGAATCATTCCTATTGCATGTGTTTGGTGTAGAGTCGATGAAGAAGGATTCAGTAATCAACCTCTCTCTCCACCTATTTAGATTACTTTTTAGAATTTTAACCCTCTCCCACCCTATTGTGTGGTTGTGTGTTAATGCATGCATTGCAACTGCTGAGCTTCTTTCTAAATTACTTATCTTCTCGGGGTCAACCATTCTTATCTTAGCTAAATCCTTATGTTCCGACAATTTGACTACCCCTGACCTACTATTTTGATATATGTAGTTGACCTCAGAGTCATTGCAGGGCATTTTGTAAATTATATTATTTTGTCTAATTGGGTCAGCTGGGTCCTTTAACCTACAGAACTTGTCCTATCTGAGTGAGTTTGTAAGTTTAAATGCTTTATTTATAATCCTACGTAGGGTCTCAGATGTCCCTTCTTTATATGGTATAACTGTAGATGACTTATATTCTCTCTTATTTATGTTATTATTACTAGTTTCACAATTATTTTTTTTTTGGCCTTTTTCAATCTTCCTAATGAATTTCTTTAATGATTACCTTGATATAATTATGAGCAATAAAGTGTGCTCGAAACGTCATCAGTAAACATCACTGTATAACACTGTAAGACATTATCAAAACAAAAATTTACCCATAATGGAATTACACTCTACCACAGGGCACAAGTTTTATTCTTATATCGAAGTTGATAGAGGTTTGGGGCATTGTGCAATGTTGATCTGTATTCAGACTATACAAAGTTATTTTCATCTTGATATATATTCTGTTATATAAACTTTTGTATTTACCAACTGGTAACTTCATTTTAAACTTTAATTGATTTTTTCCCTTCACCTATATACCTTCACCCACAGAGCCTAAAAGGAATGCTATAACGGGTGAAAACTGTTCAACTTATGATTATAATTCAGAGGTAAGAGTATCGAAGAAGCGTACACCGATTAAATCGTCTAATCCATTGAATGGTGAAAATGTCAGCGCTTTTATGGTATCCCAAGAAGAAAGACCACGTACACCTAAACCATATGGTAAGATATAACCAAATTTGTTTTTATGAGTAGTGTGTTTCCAAAGAAAATAAAAAGATAACCTAAAACAATTAGTCCCTTTTATAAATTTTGATAGCGTTATTAGAAGACGGAGACTATCTGAAAGACGATGTGATGTATTAGCGCTATACATTTCGAACAATCTGATCCCTCACACATTTCCTTGTCAAGTCAATATATATGGAAAAGTTAAATTAAACTAAGTGCTGTAAAAAACATTTAAGGATGATTAACACAACATTTAGTAATCCAATCAAATAAGGATTACCAAGGTAGGTATGTTAAGAGTAATAACAAAGTGTTTTTGAATACACAAGGGGGGCTTACGTTTATGAATAGCTATAGCCTCAGCTTATTTCAATAAGCGCCTTTGATCATTTCTATAAATGACCCTGAAGGCTGAGTTAACATCACTCTTATGGTTCATCTCGATTAGATGTTTAGCTACAGACGAAGTTGGTAGTCTGAAGTGTCTTTTTAAGAGGATTGAGCGTATTTAGACGGCTGATGTTGCGGACAAAGAAAACGAAATATTGACGGATACCCTTGTTGAAAACGGATATCCTTTAAAATTTTTAAACCTGTGTAGAAGTCAACTAGTCTCTAAACCCACAATCCATACCGTCCCCGAGAAAATGGTTTTCATCAAATTACCATATAACATGGAAATAAACAGTAGGACTGTGAGACAAAGGTTGAGTTCGATCATCCGTAGAACCTACTTTGCAACCCAGCTTGTAATTATGGAAAAAGCCAAAAATATGCTTCACTGTACACCTCAAAAGTGCACAAGTGATTATATCACATCCCACAGAATTTACCAATTTTCGTGTGTGTGTGTGTGTGTGTGTGTGGACACACATACGTAGGGAAGAGCAATCGCGCTTTGCACTTGAGGGTGGGAGAGCACATCCTAAAAAGGTCAGAAAAACAGATGAATTGTGACAAGCAAATAGATGCAGGTGTCAGTTTACCAACTTGGTCTGTAGATAAACATCTAATCGAGATGAACCATAAGAGTGATGTTAACTCAGCCCTCAGGGTCATTTATAGAAATGATCAAAGGCGCTTATTGAAATAAGCTGAGGCTATAGCTATTCATAAACATAAGCCCCCCTTGTGTATTCAAAAACAGTTTGTTATTTCTCTTAACCTACTTTAGTAATCCTTATTTGATTGGATTACCAAATGTTGTGTTAATCATCCTTAAATGTTTTTTTCGTCACTTAGTTTAATTTGACTTTTCCATATATATTGACTTGACAAGGAAATGTGTGAGGGATCAGATTGTTCGAAATGTATAGCGCTAATACATCACATCGTTTTTCAGATAATCTCCGTCTTCTAATAACGCTATGAAAAAGATAACCATTCTGATATTTAGATTTCTAGTAAATAGCGAAGGAGTGGTAGATTCCAGTCTCTCTTCCATACGTCTTGGTTTCTTCATTTATCTCGAGTATACTTTGTCTTATATTGTGCGTCGGTGGCACAGCATTTAGGACTCTTGTCGGCCACGCAGTTGATCCGGGGTTCGACCCACTGCCAACAAACACCTGATATCAATGGTGAGTCTGCAAAATTTAGGCTACCAATATCACATGCTAAAAACCCAATACTTGTACCGGAAATACGGTGTGGAATCAAGCTATAATCAAAATAAAAACAAAATAAAATAAAAATTAGTCAAGAGTGAAATATTGAATTTAACACAACACTTTTGGTGTTTTTACATCCTGTAAGATGGATGGTTTAATTGAGAAGCCTTTCAAGTGTCTTTCTATATAACATATTCACTGACAATTTTAAGATAAAGTGATGTTTTGAAACTCTTCGTGAGACCTAAACTTAGTAGTGATCTACCAAAGCTCACTTCACTCTGAAGTTAATGTTGAGTAGGCTAACCAGAAGAACAATGAAAGCCGTGAAGTTAAACCATCCACTAACTCATGGAACACAACAGCAAAAGAAAATCCATCTGAGCTGCAAGCCCTCTTCCCTATTTTGCGCTTTAAGTGAACATAAGACTTATAGCTTCGATTTTTAAATCTCTGGTAACGGTGGAGTCTTCTTAACAGGCTGGGGTTGCTAGCCTCACTTCCAAGCTTTTGTCTATACAGGACCTACCATTAATTAAGCAAGGTATAGGTGTGTGTTAGCCAGGAATCCATCCCGGAGAGTATGGATGTAAACAACATTATACTGCTGGTTTAGAAGTAATTTTGATTCGCAAAACAGTATCTAATGCAGCCAAACTTTAAATAGAGCTTTTCTGAGTGTAATAAATCGGTTTTTTCACGACAGGTAAGCTTCTTGTCACTAAAACGCTAGACAACGACGACAGTCATTCAAAAACACCAGAGTTTCGGAAAATTCCTCTTGTTTTCACTAAATTTAAAGAAATTGATAATATATAGTGGTAGTTTTGTAGGATTTTGATTTTATAACGTCAGTGTTGAGATACCATAACTACCTGATAAAATAGAGGACTCTGAATGAAAAGTTATCACTCAGCTTTTAAAACTAAAAACTAATGACTTAAGCTATGACATGGTATGACAGCTGACAGCGTCTCCTGTTTCGGTCCCAGTGTTTTAATACTACATAACAAAACATATTAATTGCAATCTATAGATCAATGTCCATCTAAAAACTTTCCCAAAGCTGTTTTCTTTCACACTGTACAAGTGCTAACAAGGAAAATGGGATTTAACCGCCTCTAGTGCATCTGCTTTCTGCTCATTATTTCTCTTCAAAATATCTTGGTCGACGCAGGTTTATGAATTCCTTGAGCGGCTGTCACGACATTTCCAAGACTAATAACTCCAGGCTACTTGTTTGAAGTGGCTAAAAGTGAAATGTATGATGTGTACTTCATCCTATTAGGAAATCATCAACCAGATACTCTTGCATCCTCACAAAATGGCTGTATTTCTACTGAGATCTGAACCCAGTACCTTCTTCTTCACACCTTAAGGCGTTATCCACTAGTCCGCGAAGCAAACGGAGCCATATCTTTTGGCATGAATACAGTTTAAAGAATGACAGACATAAAGGAAATCTTTTATTGTTAAGATATCACTTAAATATTCATTCATATAGTTAGTTTCCCATCGTATGAGACGTACTGATTACTTATCTTAAATAAACTCAGCTTTCATTGATGTAGGTCTTCTTCTTCATTGTCGTGAATAAGCCCTATTTACCACTGCAAACAAACATTAAACACGACCTTATTGCGGTGTCTTGGTTTTTAACGCCTAACTGTAGCATCTCACCGATTAGTTTATTGGGTTTATTAGATGATAGACTTAAAACCGCATAGCTATTGCAGTTCTCACTGGGAGAATGATTCAAACAAGAGCTATTTTATCAATCACTTGATTAAACTTACCATGAAATCTGATTTCTGTCGAATAACTGAACCAACTTAGTGCAAAAAAGCTTCTAAAGTCTGAGATCAGCTTTTCTTCTTGAGAATATCAAACTTCCGGTTAGTTTGTCCTATTGTCCTACAACTACAAGATGCAACTCTCTCTTCAATCTCACTGAATACACCAGCACCTCTGTGAATGATTGTTTACCCGCTGAGACTTGAACCACAAAGCCATCATTTTAAACTCAAAAGTTTCACCCAACAGGCTACTTAGGCAAAAGACCTACTTGTTAGTACACACACAGCTCAATACACGGCCAAGTTAAACTTTCGGCACCACTAACTACCAATTAGCGAATTATCCAATGAGATTCACGAACGTAGTTCAATGTTGTAGAGCGCTTGACTCATTTCTAATGCGTGACCTTACAAGGTTACGGCTGCAATTTGAGGAGTTTAGTGTTTTCCAGTATTGCCTGGATTTAAATTGCTCCGGAAGGAGCGAACTTGTTCTTGTGTTGGTATCATGACTTTAAAAAGCTATAGCAGATCAGCTGGTGGGTTTGTTCATCGTTGTGCTATATGTTTGAAGCATGCTAATATTATAGAGGGTAAGCTGATAATTTTAATATTTCGTGGGAAATTTTTCCGCTATGTCACATCTCTCCCTAACCTAGATTTTGTATATCTGCAATTACTGGGTGTTGAAACAGCCGGTGAGAGCAGCAGCTGCCGAGACTGAGAATAGTCTTGTCTCAACAGTTTAGTGGTACCAGCATCGCAGAGATATTGCTTCGTGTAAAATAGAGACAATCACTTGTTTGCTGTGTGGATCCCGTTACAAGGACTCATACGAATTCCACTGAAGGTTTTCGGGGCCGCTTGAAAAACAAGATAAGGGCTATGAATGGATCTGAAAAGGATCTCATTTACAGCCGTTCAGATGAATATAAGTACAGGATGTGGTGTGACTTCGCCATTGACAGTCACATGCTAAACTGGGGGATGTTTCTCCCACATATTCGGGAAAGATACTCCTTGTAACCGTTTTATCCTTCTTTATGCTTTTTTCTATAAATATGCGTTTCCATTCATCATATATGCCTATTTAATGTGATTGGTCCGTTCAAGGTCGTTTGCTGATTGGTTGCTAGTGGTGTCGACAGTTTAACTTCGCCCAATACACTAGTGTTACTACCATTATTATTCACGTCTGCTGCCGTTTCGTTATTACTATAGTCACGTTAGTCACAAATCTGCAGGCATTTTCCTTTTTCTTGTTTCCTTTGTTTTCCCTACCAATCAATTTTTTCAATATCTTATAGTATACAAGAACACAGTGACTGGTGAAAATCTTCAGAGTTATAAAATCACACCGATTGAAAGAAATGTTACTCCGAGAATAGTCAAAGGTAAGCAATAATCAGTCTGTTTAAATAATTTTGTATCAAATCACGATATAACTACCTGAAAATCTTGTATATATATTTCATTGTTGATAGATTGTGATCCTTAATTGATTGGTATATCAATTTCAGTCAGAACAAGATTGCATCGTTCACAGTGGGATTTCAACCAAAAAGACTTCTAGACAGAGGGTTCAATACTTCAGAAAAAAAATAAGCTATATGAGACGTTGAAAAAGAAGTCAGCTTATCGGAGGGAGATTATTTGAAAATAGTAGGATAATTAATCATCACTTGAGATCGGAAAGAGTTCATTTTTGCCAATGAAAATAAATAATAAGGAAAAATTTATTCACATCAAAGCCCTTAGTGTGAAATAAGGTGATCGAATAACACCATCGTCATCATCATCATCATCATAGTTTCACGGCCTTCATTTGAAGACTTGTAGTTTAGCCCCCCCCTGTCTTTTTGATCTGACGACCTGAGTCTTACCTGAATTGTAGTCTCATCAATGAAAATTATTTCTACAATATAAGTGATCCGCACACAAATCAATGTTTACATATGGAAAACAGCCATGCTGTGGAACGAGCAGTTTTTCTTTTTCCAACGATTAATTAACATCTTCGTCCAATTGAAAATCATTCACATGAACCAGTAGTGATTTCTAACCAAGTCGAGGTGATATAAACAACAAAAGCCTGTTAGAAGAATTTTATCGTATCTGAGTACTATCATTTCACCAGGTTCTCAAACAGTGACAAATAAAATTGGTGTGACGTGGATTTTCCTAGGAAGCTTAACTGTAAAATTTAATAACTCTCCTATCCTACAGCAGTGGTATCCAGCATGCGCATTTCGTCCTATTCGGGACTAGTCGTCTGGATGTACCTGCATTCCGCAATGAGTGATGATGTCCCCGCCGAGGCTCGAACCCAGTATCCATAGTTTCAAACGCCAAAGCGTTTTCCGCTAGACCACTTGGGCCCCGAGAGACACCTATTCTGCAACGGGTTATACTGATTATTTAATTCTTTTTCTTTAGATTTTCCCGTCGATTGATTGGAGTGAATCGTTCGGTCTCAGGTTGACATATTGGCTTCTCGTGAAGATGTTTTGACGATGCCTGGACATGTAATTAGAAGTTAATTAGTGGATGGTGACTAGCAGTGGAAGCCAGGATGCACATTTCATCCTTTTTGGGACTCGTCACAAGAAGCACAAGTAGCCGTCATGTCAACCTGAGACCGAGTACTTCGGTCCAACCAATCGACAGGAAAATCTAAAAGTGAAAGGTATCTACTTATTATCATTTAAGTAGTGTAAAATGATTAACAAGATATTGAATGTTCTCCAAGACTGATTAATTTATATTTATCAAAATGTATTTTTTGTTTCAATCTCTAAACACAGAACGACAAAATCCTTTAAGTGGAGAGAATGTTGAGTCGTACACTTATCGTTTAGGTGAAGGTAAACGAACTGTAAAGAAAAGAGGTAAGACTGTGAATTTTTCTTTAAGTTTTGAAAGTATTTCGTTGTATTCGTTTTATATTTACAGCCTTTTGAGCTTTGAATATGTTTACATAGATAGAACATACTGCTAAAGATGGACTAAGCACATCGCCTCAGAGTGAATAGGGGAAGTTTTTGAATACTGACAGGCTTTTAAAGAGTGAGGAAAATTTTAAGATATTGATTAGGAAGCAAAACACGTATATCCTTTGCTCGATGACACTACTTATTTGTTATTACTTTTTCTTTGCCTATTCAGGGAGAAATCTTGTCTTAGTGGTCATATCTACATTGCGCTCAGTCGTGTGACATCACGTTTACCTGAATTCATGTCTGCCCATAATATTACATCTTCCCCTTGATATTATCTTTTCAGTATCACTCTGAGAACCGCGCCTAACTTGTCCTTTTTCAATAAGGTTTCACTCGATAGCCTGGCGTGTGGTGTTACTCAAAGGTGTTCTTAGAGTGTGTCTGATCCAACCTTATGCACCTTTGTTGTGTAATTAATGTAACTATTATTATTTCCTTTCATTCCTAGAGAAACATAGGGCTTCAGCTGAGCATTTTCATTGCCTTCGGTTTTCTGCCAACTTTCTCACCCCGCTCCAAGTCTGCTCACATGCTTTCATCTCCTCTTCACATGACCTCCTCCAAGTCACCCCATCCATGCACTGACGACCAACTCACCGCTTTCCTTTCGGGCTCCACTGGAGCGATTGCTTGTCTAGTGATGTCACTTGATGGTTTCCTCAGAGTATGGCCAATCCATCTCCACTTCTTCCTGCCTATTTGTTTCACAATCGATTTCTGGTTGGTTCGTTCATTGCAAGAGATCGCTATTGCTGATCTTTTGTGTCTGTCCATCTGACCTTGAGTGGTATTGAGAGAAGACAACTGTTAGTGAAGGTCTGAAGTTTGTTTGAGATGCTCTTTGTGACGCGCCAAGTCTCTGATCCGTATAGTTTTTGAATAAAGCAAGAACAGCAGTTTGTGCAGAATACAGATGGTACCATCGTGGACTTTTCATCAGTTGCCTACAGTCTAAAGAAATTATCAAGTTTATGTAGGGAAGAAATTTTAAAATACTTGCAGGTATTACATGATGTCAGCCGACGATAGGCCCAAAACATTTCTTTGCCCAGAGAGTTGAAGTTTAAACAAAAATCAACGTTTACGTGCAATAGCAAAGGAGTTAAGTTATAAAGACTAGAGGTATGTTAGGTGATGAGTAAATAATATACTGGGTAGCAATGTAGTGAGTTCAACCCAGATTATTAGAAACAAGAGACAAGCAAAGTTACATTATATCAAAGGGTAGAGGGGTTAAAGCCAAAGACTACGTAATCAAATGAATGGAAAAATAAAGACATCCAGTTACCATGGTAACGAAAGACTGATAACTGCTTCCTTCTGAACACATAAATTGGGTGTCAGGCACTCGATAGTGTTTGCTTCGGTAGACTTGAGAAGAATTTAACTATTCTCCTCAACTAACAATTATAAAGGATTTTGTGATTTCCACCTCATGATCTGACGATGATACTGGCGTAAGGATTTATTGTCTTCAAGCGCCTGCTTTTTGGTATGTGTTCGGACAAATCTCTGTGCCCTTCTTTCGCAACTAGTGCTGCCGCAAATACGTGTATATTTGTAGACAAAGAGACAGTTAATATGAGAAGGGTATCTGCCGAACTTTGACTGCACCAAAGAGCATGTTGTTGGACAAACGAGAACCAACCTAGCTGCAGGATAGGCTCTGGCTGGTGAGGTATTTAATCTTCTGTCCACTATTTCTGCAATAGTATCACTTCTAAAATCTAGTCGAATAAAGACAGGCTTTCTCCTGCTGTGATTTGCTTGATATATATGAACAGTCACATCTTCCGTACTTGTTAGTGAGTTTCTTAAGTTTACCGATGTTCATCTACATCTGTCGAGAATCATAAATTCTTCCTCTAATTTCTCTGTAGAGTAGCACATCTATCTGATCCTATAAAACAGATTTTCGACCAGTGCTCGTTTATAGCTATTTGGAAAGAAATTGCCAAAATTCAATTACTGTCCATTCCATGTAGGCTTTCGGTAAATTGACCTCCAGAGACTACCATTTTCTAGGTGTTGTATGGCAGCATCAATGAAGTGAAACTTTCCATTGTTTACTTGCTCCGTAGTGAATTCAGTATTTGTGTGCATGTCGTCGAGTAGTCTGAGTAGGTAGGAAACACGACTTTCATTGCTGCACACTAAAATTTCATCATCGATATACCGAAAATACGAAGTTCTTTCATCGATCGTAGGCTTCAACTTAGTTCTCTCAAAGTTGGACATGAAGATGTCTGCTAAAATACTTTTTGGCTAATGATGGAAAATTTGAATTTTTATCCTGGACAGATCACTGTAGTTCCCAGATTTTAAATCTATGTGATTCTGCGACAAAGTCAACAACTGGACCGATAGTCTGAGGTCACGACAGACTTCCTTTAAAGCTGAATGATGTTGGTGAATTGATGGGAACTTATCATTTATGTGTGCAGCACAATCACAAAGCAATATGACAGAATATTATTCTACACCCTGTCTGCAGTCAGTTCACAGAAAGCCTTAAATAAGCAGCTTAGCGAAAGTATCGCATCCACTGAAATGTATTCATATTTTTATGCGTGTGAACAAACACAGCAGAATTGTGTCATACTGCTTCGTTACCATTTCATCTATCTGACTGGTTCAACTTTTAATATCTGTCATTGTGTCAGGTGATGACTTTCTGAGATTTCCGCTACATCAAGCAAACTTCATGTCTTCTAATTCATTGACAGGAATATTTTGATAGAGTGATAACTTGAAGCAGTGCAAAGCAAACTACACCTATACTACTATCCAGTCTCCCGTGTTAACTGGTATACTATGTAGAGCAATACTGAAGTAAGGCATAGAACATTAAGTAAAGACGGCAGGTCATCTGATAAAGTTGTGAAGCCATATCGAGTGAAGTGACTGCGACAGGTGTTGCGCATGCCAGGAAACTGCCTTTCTCGACGAGCAATATCAGTTGACATATGGTTATGTTGGCAAAGTGTTAGAGTTATTCAAACTAAAACATGACATCTGATGATATCAGATGGTTGGAGGCAATCGGCAGGAAGCCTTCGACCTAGATTTCGTGTTGGCTGGTACCCACCAGTCACCAAAGCGCATCTGCGACCTTCAAGGAACCCGCGTTCCTTCTGCGATTCAAACCCGCATCACCCAGTGCTGCAGTCAAAGACGTTACCACTGAACTGTTCGAGTTTGCGATTGACCTAGGATGCTGGCCACATTGCAAACCTGACTGATAGAATTCAGTTTGCGCCAAAGAAAGGACTAGACACATCACGCTGGTTACTACTGTCCAATCAAAATGTTTGAAAGTTGGTCTGAGCTAGTCATCTAGCCAGGAGTAGACTACTTGGTTGGAGTCCTCAGGAGACTGGGAACCAACAACTTGAGGCTATTGGTGATGTATGGCCAAAAATCGCTCTTATTGGGATCTCTCAGATCCAGAATTCCCTCATATTTGTCATGTGACTAATCCTTCTCATGCCTATTTCTACTCATTATGGATCTTCTAAATTCCTTTTTCTTTCTTCCTCTAACTTTATATGGTACATAGAGTGTGGCAACTTGAAGTGCTGCACTTCTGTGTAACGTTCTATGTTGAAAGCCAGTCAGTTGGTCTCACAGTGTAGCATCTTAACGGAGTCACTGTGTAGACTGCACACCACATTACTCCCATGTGACACACACACACACGCGTTCACTTAGATCTTGAGAGAGAGAATGACAGTCGTCACACTCGTAGCATAAACAGATTAGTTATATTCAAATATAATGATCAAAATGTGTTATTGGTCAGACCAGCTGAGATCGTCTACGCGTTAAAAGACACCGACACAGATGTAGTGGGTGACTGTGTCTCGATTACTGGTTTGGGTAAAACTATTAATGAATACCACTGACTGATTAATAATTCGTTGGCCAGTTATTGATCGTAAATCTTCTGGACAGCTGTCGAGAATCTGTTTGGTTCGAATCCAACTTCTCAACTTCCATTGTCAATCAGTACCATAGAAAATGGAACAAATGGCCTCGGTGTTTGCATATTACCTTCCAGGTGACACTCAAATATATAAATCTGCTAAAAGAAAGGGAAGATAGTTACAGTCAGCCATGTGACTTCTGAGCTATTGTTAATACACCTCAGTATTGTAAAAGTTGGACATAGAATATTAACTTACAATACGCCACTGATCATATTATATTTCTGCTAATAATAACCAACTAATCTACCTATACAAAACCAGGCAGGATTGGGGAGAAATTCCAACAATGCTAAGCTCTTATTTGTTTATTCCTTGTGTTTATTTGTTATTTTGTTTACTGTAAGCTGATCTAATTGTTTTGTAAATATAGTTGACAAGATGTATTGTATGGGGAAATGATGTATGTGTATTAATCTATTATTGATAGACAAATCTAAATCATATTCAGATGAATAGTATAAAAAAGCTGTACTTGGATTTTAATTCCGTAAGAATTTGGTAAATTTCAACATTGAGTTTATGACATAGAGCAGATTTATGTCAACCAAAAGACTCAACAGCGAAAGAAGATAAAACCAACATCATTTACAAAATATAAATTGTAACGACTGCGAGAAAGAACGACATTCGTCAAAGTGGACGTCCCTTTTCTCGTCTTCATATCCATGATCATAAGCTAGCCGTCAAAAGACATGACATCCACTTCCTCACTCATATCGTCTTACTGTTAACTACGGAAATCAGTTTGACTGGGAGAACCAATGTTCACATATTAGACAGAAGAAACACCAAGAATGCTAGAGAATTTTTAGAAGCCCGCCTGGTATTCTAGTGAATCGGCCAGGAAACATCAGCAACAGGGATCTCTGGCAATTAAAGAACCAACCCAGCAGGTACCAACTGTGCAACAAATATGCAGGAAGAAGTAGAGGTGGATCGGCCAAACTCTGAGAAAACGAACCATCAAGTCACATCACATGCTAGGCTCTCTCTTGAGTTGAAGCCGAGTAGGAAGTGGAGAGCTGGTCGTTAGTGGGGGGGGGTGACGTGAAGAAGGTTATGTGAAGAGTATATGAAAGTATGTTGGCAGACTTGGAGCGAGGTGAAAACATTGTCAGAGAATCGAACGCAGTGTTCTAACAGGACACTCAGAGATTAACTTTCTTGGCTTAAGAATTCAAAGGCATCATATAAATAAGACGAAATGATCTATCAAATACCAATGTAAAAACTATAAGGTTAATTATGTAGGTCAGACTATTCTGTTGGAGTCAATTACGTTGTTCGAACATACGAATTTAGGTAAATCTACAATGATTAACTTCTTCGGATTAAATCATCTGAAGAAAAGCTTAGCTGTTGTAGTGCATGCACTTGCACAATCAGGTGAGATGGAGTACAAGCATAATAATAATATTATTACTAGGTACTCAGAGAAAGGTCAATCATCGAAGTCTTTTTCATCTAGCCAACGTCAGATGCATTCAATAGGGATACATGAGCAATTGCATTCAAAACAAAAGAGGTCAGGTATTTAACTGAGGCAAATTATTAAGTCCTGTGAAGGCACTGATTTGCTGATAGTAATCAAAGCAGTGTGCTTGACACATCAACCAGTTATGAATACTACGTGTTTCTTCCTAGTAAAGACTTACTGGCAGGCAGGATGTGCCTAAAATACTGTCACTGTTTCCAGACCGCATCGTTTCAAGCTGTAGAGAGTAGCACAAATGCAGACAAAATATCCGAGTAAAGACAATACCGATGCCTGTGAACGTGAAGCTAATTTATCATCAGAGACAACAGAAATAATACATATTATTAACGAACTAGTGAAGGTGAACAAAATAATCATTATTGATACAGGTGAACAAGAGGGTAAGTAAGTCTCACGAAACAACCAATCACATTCAAAGCCAAAAGAGAGACGACGGCCACACTTATGAACAATTCTCTAACTTCATTTTACATGGAAGCTAGTGTTGAAGATGTTGCTTAGAAGGATGTTAAAAGCTTCGTAATTAAACCACCCACCAATATCATCTACCTGAGGCACAGATTTTCCCTATCATTTCTGAACTGGTATAGGTTGATCCAGCCAAGTAGAACGTGCTACATTTTGAAAAAAGACCACTGGTTTGATGTGTTGGTGAAAATAGCCACCTCTCATTAAAGTGTGGATATATATATATATATATATATATATATATATATATGCACATATGACTGTAGTATACATTTGTGATAAATATTGGTTTCAAATCATATAATTCCTGTTTGCTTGACAGATCTCAGCTCACCCTTAACTGGAGATGGTTCACGTGGTCGAACATACACTGTGTCTATTGAAGAAAAGCATTCATCTCAACCAAATTTAGCTACAAACGGACATGATTCAACAAATGGTACACAAATTACAAGAACTCTGAGGAATATATTGACTGGTGAAAATTGTGATACTTATAGTGTATGCCAAGAGATGCGTAGTGAAAAGTTGGATGGAACTATGGGCCTTCAAGGAGGATTACAAAGAAAATGTAAGACTATTTTCTAAATTAATTATCATGGTGGATATTGTTCTAAGGTTTTATGTCATTTGATATACATACTGTTTGCACTTATCGAAAATTTGAGAATTCCACTGTTTCCCAAGCCACTTCATATCTTTCATACATTTATTCCCCTTAATGAATTTGATTAAAGCAAGAACTACAGTTTTAGCAGAATAAAATGGTACCATCAGTGTTTATTTGTTGCCTTCTCGTCAGCTGCTTACATGACAAAGACATTATTAAATATATCTACAACAACAATTTTAACATACTTGCACAGAGTTAAGTTTAAACGAAAATCAATCGATCAATATACTCATACACTAAAAAAATACATTTCCATCAAGCGCCTGAAACCTGAATTATGCGTCATGAAAGAGGCGGTTATCAGCCTTTCTTTGCCCTGGTAACTGGATAATTTCACCTCTCTTTCCTCCGAATGTGAAATGCTAAAAGTTTCCATTGTGTTTGATTATTATTGTTCGGAATAGTGGTTAATATTGCATATGTATGTATGTATATATTTTTAGTGTATGAGTATATTGATCGATTGATTTTTGTTTAAACTTAACTCTGTGCAAGTATGTTAAAATTTTTGTTGTAGATATATTTAATAATGTCTTTGTCATGTAAGCAGCTGACGAGAAGGCAACAAAATAAACACTGATGGTACCATTTTATTCTGCTAAAACTGTAGTTCTTGATTTGTTCATTTCATATTTACCCATCATTATCTACTTCTCTATCACAGAGTGAAATGCGACGCACTCATTTATGTGAAATTAACTGGACAAATAGTGTGACTATTACTAGAATTCAGGAAGAGAATTCCATCATTTGCTGAATTTATCTTCTAATTAGTGAGTGATTGTACCCTCCCCCCCCCACTGTGATTCGAACTCAGCACCTATAATGGGAAACACCAAAGCGTTATCCGGCAGACTAATGAGGCACGACATGAACATAAATATATTCTGGACTTAAACATATTTGTTACTTGACAGGTAATTAGCTCACATGTGCGGAAGCTTTTCCATATATGCTTCCATGAAATACTGTCCAAACCCATTCACTACTCCAAGAAATGCAGCAAAATGATACACTGAGAGGTAACCGACATAATGTCTAGGAGCTCAGAGAATTCTATCAATCGGTTTGATTGCCATGCTAGATAACTTGAAATTATAGTGCACTTTGAAGAATAGATGCTAAATGGTTAACAGTCGGCGTGAAGTCTTGGCACCCATTGTCTGGAGGTATCTGGAACCTCTGAGAAACTGATATCCCTTAGGAGGTTCGAATTTGCAGCAGTTTTAAAAACACTTTGATGACAAGTGCCGGAAAACACGTCTTCAAACAAGGGAAGAATTCACAAATTTATTGAAAGAGAGAGAATTATTGTCAATAATTTGATAAATATACATGGGATTCTCTAATTTTATCCACATTATTGTTTTTGTTATAGTTAAAAGGTGAATTCCCCATAAACTGCATGTTTGCGTGATATAAAATCATTAGGAAAAACCTGAATTATAGTGCCATTACTGAAAAAGTGATGAAAACTACCACGCCACAATTTGAACATTAATGATTATTGTTTAGGATGAAATGGGAATATTAAAACGAAAGATGTGCCCGTGTTTTATTTACATCAGCGAACAGTAAACAAAGGGAAACTGTGTTGATTACAAATATATTGATATAATAGGCTACCCGAATCTCTGGGTCTACAGTAATATATGAATGAATTCCCTAGTGATGTGAACATTTCAGGGTGTGTGATTGATTACTGAACTTCTATTTCGGTCAAGTACAGTCAGCCTGTTCTCTAATCAATAATCAGATGAGGTTTGTTGCCTCTTGCTGGAAGCTTTCATTGCTGAAGTACTGTCAGTATATATTCTGTCTTTAGCAAGCAGTCTTGTTCTCTGTTGTTCGACGTAATATCAGATTCTGAGCTACACTTCAGTGAGAAGAATTCAACAGGGATGAAAAAGGTGACTGTTGAAATTCTAACTTTTGTGAATGCACGATACAATGTCAACGCCATCCAATGCCATTGGCAAGTATCTATTTGAACAGAACTCCAGGAAATTCACATTCAGTCATCAATGCGGAGTGAATTCGTCTTTAAGTGGAAGGTTAATAGAGATTTTTATAGACTTGGAAGTGAGTTTCGTTAAGAATCGATATCTGTTAAAGTACCATTGAATATTACAGAATGTTGGACAGTTTTCTCGTGCTGTTTTTAGAATTTTTTCAGCAGAATCCACACACGCCTTCATCAGGAATCAGACATATGACCTTTAGATTGTGAGGAGAACCTGTGGATCATTCAACCGCTGGGTCGAAATCTAGTGGTACAGGGACTCTGGCCTCTCTCAATTCGTCATACTGTGCCGCCATGAGCCAGTGTTTTCTTTTTCAACTAACGATAGTATCAACGTTTTCTTCGGTAAACTCCCTGAATTCGATTCTTCATCTTTCTGTACATTAGTTTTCGGTCGACCTCCTTACCAGTTATATAAGTGAAGGATTCGACGCTTGTAATCCTTGATTTTTAAGTGGAAACTCGTCTTGTTAAAAGTTTGAGCACGCAACAGTTCCACAAAATAATAATATAGGTAAATGGACGAAGAGGTGGATCACTGGATATTTACTCATAGAATCAATGCTTGATACGTGCAGTAGGAATGATGGAATGCAGATACCATATTATTATTATTACTGCTGTATGCGTAACTGAAGTGTTGTGATCTGAACTTAGGAAACCGACCTTTGCGTTCTACTGTAATGCTAACCACACCTGCCTTGAGTTAAACACAGTCACAAAACGCCCTTAACAACCTTAAAAAGACAGTTATTTGTAACGAAATCTAATGTACCATTCAAAAATCATGGTGTAGCAAAATGCGAAACACTCTCAACAATGCCATCAGAAGCTATACAGATCCAATAGTTTCTCGAATATAAAAGAAACATTACACAACAGAATTATTTAGACAAAATCAACAATATGGAGTATCTGAGAATCAATGACGATATTTAAGTCAAAAGGTGGGAATTAAAAACTCTGTCACCGAGATTCACACACCAAATAATTCCTGCAGACAAGACGAAGTCAGAATCACCGTGATTCACTCAGCAACAAAAATGTCAGCTGTACAACAACACGTTATCAATCTCATCATCACACAACCACAAAGAGAAGAAATACAATTACAGATTAACCAAGAACAAGGAAGAATAATAAGAATTAATTCAGTAGGTAATACGCAAACATCAAAGCAATGGTATACAGTCTATGAGAATAAAGGATCGTAATCACACATTTAGTTAGAATTCTGTATGTCCAAACCAAGTTCACTTTTAACGGTTTGAAAAAATTTGGGCATTGGGTATATGATATTCATTATAATAAAAGCTTCTTTTTGTATTTCCCAATGAATGAAAAACAAAACGATATTGCTGCTTTTACTGACGTTTCGCTATTTAATGTTGCTGCTAATAGCTTTATCGAAGTATTAATAAACCGGAATTTACAAAATCTCAGCGTACATATAAGAAAGAGTTAAGTGGTGAGAAAATAGACAAGTTAGTTCAAGTTAAAAGGACATATTGAAAGTCCAAATGGCAATGAAGATCACTAAACCATATATCAAAGGTAATAGTACGTCTGTTATGATATCAAAATAAAGTTTACTAACCTGATCATCGTTCGTTAGTCTGGGTTCATTTTCGGTTGTCAAGTTGGCCAATTGGTAAAGATAACAAAATCAAGTGTAGATTGTTGGATTTTATCAGTGTGTAAAATTATAAAAGTAGTGTGTGTTTACTTAGTGAACTTGCTTATCATATTTGTGTTCATTTTGCTACTTCATGGGGGAGGGTGGTGTTGTAGCCAGGTCAGATTCTGTTTTATCCATCATTCCTATTCAGGCAATTCGGTTTCGGATATGAAGTGTTTCGGATATTAGACGTTCTTTGTGGTTTCTGAACGTTTTCTGGATTATTTCAATATTGGTGAAATCCTCCATGCAATCAAAATCAATTTTGTTATATATATACATATGTTATATATATATATATGCTGAGATTTTGTAAATTCCGGTTTAATGATACTTTGATAAAGCTATTAGCAGCAACATTAAATAGCGAAACGTCAGTAAAAGCAGCAATATCGTCTTGTTTTTTCATTCATTGGGAAATACAAAAAAAACCTTTATTATAATGAGTTAGTTAGAATGTCTAGATAAGTAACAATGGCGTAAATAGATCGTCCGGGAGGGATTCTGTCGCAATACGGAATACCAGTAGTATATGTATGTATGCTCAGTTGTTAGTTTACAGGGATTCGATTGATTTAAAGGTTGATCCCGAACTCACTTCATTTTGAAAACCACTGGAAGCAAGGGAATGCCACAAAGCTGTTTTATCTTTATTTGAGACAAAATCCGATGTCCCTCTTGTGCTCACTTGAAGTTGACTACAAGATAAAGTCTCCTGGACCACTTGTGGGAAGTTATCACCAGTGTGGTTTACGAAGTCGGGTGTGAGTACAAATACTCGCCAATGACAATGAATGGCGGTTTCGCTAAATAGCGCGAATCGGCAGATGGTAGAATGGATGAGTCGACCGATTAATTCCACCCTAGCAGGTCGGTAGTATGTGAGCTTGTCTTGTAACCTGAAGGTCTAGCTAGGCTTACTCTCTGATGACGTCATTGATGCGTACCGATGAACATTCTCTGATTCTCAATGGTTCTTCAACTGGGGTCAATTCATAATCTGTCCCGATTTGTATATATGCATATATATATGCGTATAATATTTAATATTTGTCACTTTTCGCTGGTTCCTAACTGTTGCCACTCCCCTTTTTTTTCTCATTTTAGCTGCTTACAATATCATAACAGGAATTTAAATTATGCGCACAAAAAAAAACAAACAAACAAACAATGGAACTACTCAACGCACTCATTGGAATGACAAATCGTTGTGTTTCCCTTTTTCTCTTCAACAAAAAATATTCCCATCTCTTGAAACAAAAAACCATTATTCAATGTAAAGAACAACTAATCAAAAAAAAGCAATAATACTAACTAGAGATAACATAAGAGGCAACACATAGGTAAACATAGCTCCAGTTAATACTGTAGCAGTAAGGCACCGCCTATGGGTACATTTCTTCGACGAGTGTTTGAGTACACGTATGTATGCCAGTGTGCCTGTTTCTATGTGTGTGTGTGTGCATGTGAGTATGTGCTTTTATGCATTTTATTCATTTGTTTCATAAAAAAAACATTCTTACAAATACACAGCTACCAACCCTCCCCCTACACATATACAAGCAAAAAAAAAAACAAGCACATACATTTTCACTTGCCTATTTATTATTTGATTACCCAAGCAGTCACAGACATTAACACTTAATTAATTACCCAATGTCACCATTTGTTTACTGCCTTCATGTGTTGTTGCCTTGGATATTCGTCTAGCTAAAATCTGCGTGAATCAAAAATCAACATGACTGGCTGAAGAAAGTTTTTGTCATTTATGCCCTTCACATAACATTTCCTTTTGTTTTTATGCTTGATCCTACCACTAATGCCATCGTTTTTAAATGCATTCAATACCATCGATGCTATTGTGTCTTTTTGTTATGAGTAATTGTTGAGTTTCTTTTTTTTTCGCTCGGCAAATGTTTCTATTCTCCTAGTTATGATTTTGATATGCTGAGAATTCGGTACAAATATGCTGGTGCATTGTTTTGACATGCAACATAGAAGATATTTCTATACACCTGCTTTATAGGAGTTATTAAAGAAGACAGTTGCAACGAAGAAAATTTTTGCTTTTCGACGAAGTCACCGTCAACTAGGCTGTACATTCGTATATTTATATCAGATGGATGGGAAACTTCCAGAATAATTTCCGGTTAAGGATCAAATTAATAAAAATAACACTTATGAATTAAAATAGCAAAATAAACAGGGGATGGATAAAACTCAAACAAAGTAGCGTCATAATTACTGAGAAGAACGACATTGTGCAATCGGGGGTTAGAAATGTAGAAATAACAAAATATGCAGGATGTTTGGATAAAAAAAATAATGTGATGAATAATTGTCTATGCACTTAGGGATTAAATATATGTAGAAATAGTAAAATGACAAAATAAACAGAAGTTTGGATGTAAGAATATCGTAGTGTAAACACGGATTTAAAAAAACTTAAAAATAACACGAATAAACAAGCAGTTTAGATAAGAAAGGCGATGGGATGGTCATTACTAAAAAATTACCTGTTTATAAAGGCCATGGCAGGGACAGGGGTTGGACGTATTTCTTTTGGATGGCTGGTGCCTCGGCTATGCCCAGATGTCTTAATTTCACTCCCTTTGATAGGTTCGATCGAATCTCGTATATTATTTTAAAGGATTTTTCGAATGGCGCTGAATGTCCTGAATTGACCAGATGTTCTGTCACTGAACTATGTGCACGTTTTGATTCTGCTTTTACTAGCCAGGCTGGGTAGTGTTCACGAGCGCGTTTTTCAAGTCGGCGCATGGTACGGCCAACGTACTCAGCTCCACAAGAGCAAGTAAACTGGTATATGCACGCTGAGGTGGCCCAATGCGATAGCTTGTCGTTCATGTTCTGGCTAAACAGTTTCTTGCAGGAAGACGTCAGTCGTAGGCTCGCGGCGGAGTATGGTTTTCTTAGAGATTTGGAGGGGCGTTTGCGAAGGATTTCTGCTTCACTATCACCTTTGAATTCTAGACTAGCAGAAGTATTTTCTTTGGAACGGATTGAATTTGTTCGGAAGTCTTCTTAGATTTGAGATTCTTGTCTATGAGCTTGGGCGAGAAACCGTCTTCCATCAGGGTTTTTCTGAGATTATGCAGTTCTTCTCTAATCACTTCCTCACCGCATATCTTCAGAATCCTCGAGGGAAGAGCGTATATCAGGTTCCTCTTTCTACTCAGGGGCACGAAGCTTTGAAAGTTGATGAATTGTACATTCCATGTAGGCTTTTTGTATATGGACCTTTTCAGAGAATTGTCGCTTTAGGCTGGATGGGACTTTTGTGAAAAATAAAATATAGGTATTTGAAGGGGGACAAGCAATGCTTAGCCACTCATAGTTAGGATTTCGGGTTGATCTGCCTGGACCGAATTTATCAACCTCATTAGGTTACAGAACCAGTGGAAAATCAGCTGGTGGTCAAACTTGAAATAAGTCAAATATGTACAGACCAACTCTTGAAAATTAGTCTGATGCTCGCTAGTGACTGACTGATTACATGATGAAGTTATCTGGAGTTCCAGTAGGAAGTCGTGACGATTGAGTTCAATCGTGTCTGGAGTTAAGACAAATACTCGCCAGCGACATCGCCTGGAAGTTGCGCTAAAAAAGTCGCGAACTGGTTGAAGTCTGACGCCATGGATCATTGGATTGGGTCCCAGTGGTTTAATGGTCTACTAGCTTGTCTTGTTATCGGAAATTCCTGGTTTCAAGTCGCAGTGGATGTGAATCGCCGATGAATTCTAAACTAGAAAAGGAACAGCTATCTAGTGATCCCTGGTTTTCAGAGGTTTCCCCTCCTGAAGTCAGCTGGTGGTCAAATTTGAACCAAATCAAATCACTACAGATCGACTCTTGAAAATCTTGTTTCACTATGTACAGACTTCATTGAGTCATGAAGAACTTTAAGGGACTACTCAGCGGAGAAAGTTTTCTTTGTCGTACAAATCCTCTTCAGAGGCTGTACAACAGTATTTATGTTTACCAGAAATGTATAGTAGTTCATTATTGAGTAGAAGGGTGATGTAAGTGATATAATTTTTCGGAGGTGGCTTCGAAAATTGAATTAAAAATCGAAAATTCACGTAATACTCAAGGGTACAAAGGTAGAAACGGATATAAACTTGATGGGGTTAAAATTGTTAATGACTAAGAAGAAAGGTAGTTGAGTGTCCATTCAGCATTATAATAATAATAATTTTTGCTTTATTCCAAAAACAGCACTAACGATACAGCAATGAATTTTCAGCATTCAGTATAATATTCCATCTAATTTACTCAAAAGGACAAAAAAATAAACATTACACAATAATAATAACAAAACGTTGTTAAAGCAGCTATGTAGGAAATTACAGTATGCGATAAGGAGAAATATATGCATAAAATATAAAGTTGTAGTAATATTAGTAATAAAAAATAAAATAAAATAGCAAAGTTATAATTAAACGATAGAAAGTGTGACACCATAAAATACAGAAAGATGAAACGATAAAAGGGTCGATTCACTTTGCTAATTACATAGTAACTTATATGTTTCACGTCAGACAGTGTCTTCATCACATAAAATACGGGCTAAATACGGTATTGTAGAATTTTGTTTACTTAGTGGTTCAAGCATATAACTTTTTATATTGACTTCTCGTCCTACCTGATGAGGTGCAAGGGGAAAGTTGTGAATGAAGGGAGTGCAGGGGATCTGACAGTACGGCCTTTGCCCATTTTGTACAGGAATTTATGTGTCTCTCGACTATAATATTGGCGAGCTCAGGCACTGGCATACTACAAGCCCTACTCACAGCATTTAATATTCTTCGTAATAAGATATCGTCTCTTTTGAGAAGCCCAGTAAAGATTAATGGAGAGCAGTAGAGTACAATAGGTAAAATACAGCAGTTTACAAACTGCAGAAGTAAAAGTTCAATGAAACCTGATTGTCTTAACTTTTTAATGTAGAAGGTAAGACGAAACATTTTCTTAGAGATTGATAAGATATGGGCTGACCATGAAAGTTCAGAAGAAACAACTAATCCAAGGGATTTAATGCTTGACATAGTTTCAATTTCTGTGCCATCTATGCTACAGGCATCATACGAACTAACTAGATCATGTATGTCACGTCAATTCTTGATAGTAAAGTCAACTGCCTGACATTTGGAAGGATTTAACATAAGACCATTTGACTTAGACCACTTGCTGATTGATGTCCAACAGAAAGCTATTAAGTTTGAAGCAGTCAGACTCGGAAGTGACAGGCAGTGATACAGTCAGATCATCCGCATATTTGACAATGTAAGTTTCGTTCAAATGAGGCAGGTCGTGTGGGAAGAAAGGAAAAAGAAAAGGAGAGAGGATGGCACCTTGAGGAACACCGGCTTTTGTAAGTGAGGTAGAAGAAGATTTGCTATTATATACAGTATACTGCATTCTATCAGAAAAATAGGAATGCAACCAACTGTTGGCCCAGGATCCTGTTTGCTTCAACGAAAGCTTATTTGATAAAAAGACCCTAGGCGCAGAGTCAAAAGCAGATGTGTAGTCTAGGAAAGCACCACGAACATATTTGACACTTTTGTATAAACAAGAAACAAAATTATGATATAAGACAACCGCAGCATCCAAGGTACATCTACCATGTTTGCATGCAAATTGTTTAGGATCAATAAAAAGGTTTCAATGAAGGTTCAAGACGAAGTAAAAGTAATTTTTCCATCAATTTTAAAAAAGTAGAAATAATTGCAATAGGCACCGGAAGATGGTTTTGATATAGGGATAATGTTAATGTTTTTCCATGCAAAAGGTAGAACACTACTGGAAAAGGAAGCATTAAAAACGTATGAACAGGGTGAGCAAATATATAAAAGCAACATTAAAATTAAAAATAAAATATTACAAGGAATGAATGATTAATGAAGAAGTTAAGACCATGGTAGAATAATAGTCTGGGAAAACGTTTTGTGTATACAGAGTTTGGGATTGTATTGATGAATGATCCAGTCCTCTGCTATACACAATTGGCGAGACCTAACATCAACTGCATCATTCGGTTTCCCTTTGTGGATAATCTCCAGAGACGACTCTAGTGGAGCTGCGTGGGCTGAGTTCACCAAGTTCATGAAAA